GGATGTGAGGGAGGACCCCCAAAATACTGTATATACTTGAGTTTAAGCCTAGTTTTCAGCCCTTTTTTAGGCTGAAAAAGTCCCCCTTGGTTTATACTCAAGTCAAGATTATTTATTATTTTACTCTGTCTGCATTAGAAGGACCATGTTGGATCAGCTACCGGGTGTCGCACCTCAGAGTGGAACCACCTTGCTTACGACGCCAAAGAACACACCAGCAGTAGTCCTTATAGTTTTATTAAAATAAAAGATAAAAAGTTCAAAAGGCAAAAGTATATTTCAAAAGATCAATCCAAGGTCATAGGCAAACTAGATCCATGAAAGCATAGAGAGGCCCTGCTCACGATCCCACCTGCGTCGCAAGAGCGTTTGGTGGGGACGAGGGACAGGGCCTTCTCTGTAGTGGCCCCCCGACTCTGGAACTCTCTCCCCAAGGACATCAGGCAAGCCCCAACGTTGGCAATCTTTAGGAAGAGCCTGAAGACCTGGCTGTTCCAGTGTGCCTTTCCAGAATAGGAAACTCCTGGCATCATGTCCCAAATGCACTTTGTTAGTTTTAGGATTGTCTGCACATTGCACCTACCTCCAAAAACCTCTACATACCTCCTGACAAGTTCAGCACTTTTAAATTCTGTCCATCACATTTGGCCTGGCCTTAGGTTTTAAATGCGTCATGATGTCATTGTTTTTAGTGTTTTATTGTTTTGCTTGATGTTTATTATTTGCTTATGAGTTTTACTGTGATATTTGTATTTTGTTGTTGTTGGTGGCCTTGGCCTTTGTGAGCCGCATCAAGTCCTTCGGGAGATTTTGCGGGGTATAAATAAAGTTAATAATAATAATAATAATAATAATAATAATAATAATAGCAAGGCAAAGTCCCATGAGAACATGACAAAGTCCTGAAACATGAGCATGAGAAGCTGCAAGATAAATCCAAAGTCTCTTGGTTGAAGCAGAAAGTTGCTCTGACACTGAGGCACATTCAAACAGTCTGTTTGATACTCTTTGGACAACATGAAAGCATTCCTGTGGCCCTGGGCCTCTCTCTATTGCCTCCCAGTGATCCTGACACTCCATCGCACTTTCAATTCCAATCGATCAGCTCTATCTAAACCACCGGCCCCATCAAGGTCAAATCCCTGGTTAGCTGGCTGAGAACTATCCTCCCTTCCTGCATCCTCCCTCCCTTTACCAGGCACCTGGCTCTCACTTTCAGTAGTTTCACTTTCCCCAGGGTCAACCCTTGCTGGGGGAAACAACTGAACTTCTGCCCCCTGGTCCCGGTCTTCCTCGTCTAACACAGGAATATCCTTGGTTTGCATCTGGCTCTGAATCCGAATCTCATCGTCCTCATCAGAATCATTGACACCATGTGAGTCCAGCTGAGTCACAACACCGGGGTTTCTACTTCACACTAAGGCCCCTTCTACACTGCCCTTATATCCCAGGATGTGATCCCAGATTATCTGTTTATCCCAGATTATATGGCAGTGGAGACTCATATAATCTACAAACTATCTACAGACTCACCAAGAAAATCCAACAAATGGTACATCCAGCAAAGGACAAGAGGGATCCTCTCACTTCTGCAGGAGTCTACCGTGTACCATGCAGCTGTGGACAAGTCTACATAGGGACCACCAAACGCAGCGTTGCCCAAACACGAATCAAGGAACATGAAAGGCACTGCAGACTACTTCAACCAGAGAAATCAGCCATAGCAGAGCACCTGATGAACCAACCTGGACACAGCATTTTATTTGAGAACACAGAAATGCTGGATCACTCTCACAACCACCATGTCAGACTACACAGAGAAGCCATTGAAATCCACAAGCATGTGGACAATTTCAACAGAAAGGAGGAAACCATGAAAATGAACAAAATCTGGCTACCAGTATTAAAAAACTCTAAAATTACAACAGCACAACAACAGACAGGAAACAAACAAGGACATCTAATCACTTCTCAACATAAGTTTGCTCCAGGCACTGTCAGGCCATTATATGCTAATCCAGGTGGTCAGTTGAAACATTCACACCTAGCTCCAGCAGACAAGAGTCATTTGTCCTACCCTGGTCATTCCACAGATATATAAACCCTTTTTCCTAGTTCCAACAGACCTCACTACCTCTGAGGATGCTTGCCATAGATGCAGGCAAAACGTCAGGAGAGAATGCCTCTAGACCATGGCCATATAGCCTGAAAAGACCTACAACAACCCAGTGATTCCGGCCTTCGACAACCCATATAATCCATTTCAAAGCAGACAACCTGGGATCGAATCAGTGTAGAAGGAGCCTAAGTCAATTTCATTTCATGAACAAGACTTCCACGAGACCTTGCTCAGGTCTTGCAAACTCAGGCCGGTGGGTTCCTTTATTGAATCGGTCCTCTTTTGTTCCTTAACATTATTTTCACACAGTGGTAAACTCCCTATGGGACTTCAGATCAGTTTTATTCCACCAACCCCTCATCCAAACTGCACCTTCCGTTTCATTTCAAACATTCTTCATGAAAGAAAAAGCAGAAACATAAACAAGAGATCTCAGACAATGCCTAGCAAATACATATTATGTCCTTGATTGTTGCTGATGATGTTTTTCCTTTGCTTTATGCAATTCAAAAGCAGCACCTCAAGCAAGGCAGCCCTTTGAATTCTGCTGGGAAGGAAGTTATTTAAAATATTGTGGGATTCAAATCGTTACAGAAACCTCATTTAAAAGATGAGAGAAATATCCTGTTTTCGTTGTGGCAGTTTCACCCACAGGGCTTCTCAAAAAGAAAATACTCCAGCGAGAACAGGCGGCTTCCTCACCTGCTAGAAGCTTGCTGGCAGAGTCTCTATGCAACAGCTGGAAAAAGGGACCATTAATATTTATCCAGGCATCAAATGCACCCCCTGATGCCACAGAACAAATAAGCGTCCCTCCTTTTCAGTTTGACCCATCCGTCTTTCTTCTCTGCCATTATTATTATACCATCAGAGCCTATTATTTATTTTGCAAGACTGCAGGATGTTGACACTTTAGCAAGCAACTGTGCACAGCTTTCTCTAAATATATAATAAGCTTCATTAATAATAGATTCTAACTGTTGGTTGGCCAAAATAATGTCACCCTAAAAGGCCTGGTTGCAGTGACTGTGGTATAGAGCAGTGATGACCAGCTTCTTGTTTGGGGGGGGGGTCTTTTTCCCCCGAGAAAATGGTCTTTGGGGTCAGACTTTCCTAGCACTTTCCACCAAAGATATGGCACCAGTTTGAAGCTCCTCAGCCTGAAGAAGATTATGGGGGTGCACATGTGTTGTTGGTATGTGCCTTCAAGTTGTTTCCAACTGATAGTGACCTTATCCCAGGAGTTTCTGGCAAATGTACATGGTAATTAAATAAAAAGGCTAAGGCAGGACTTCGACCTATGAGATTCCTTAGTCTGAAATGTTCCAGGAGGTTACAATCGATGGGGAAAAAAAGATGCCCATTTAGCATTCCATGCAACATTTCACAAAAAGTCTCCACACACAAGTGAATTTCAGATTCCAACTTTCAAACCTGTTCAAAACTTGCACTAAGGCCTTTGTACTCACTCTCTTCCAGCCACTACTGCCATCACACATCAATTTGTGAGGTTTTAATTGGGAAACACATCTGTACATTCTGTGTATGAGCGTACCTTTGTTGGAGCATGTAAAAATCAGTTGGTGCGTGTGTTAACAGAAAAATGCAAAGCATGAAGCTGATTGGTTGGGCCATGCCCAAGAGGCTAGCTGAGCCTGGGAGTTTTGGTAACAGTTACATGTTTAGATTTTTTTTTCTGTGCAGGAGCTTGCCAAAACAAGTTATTATATTTTCTGCTTCTGAGCTGCTGGAAAAAGATCATTGACATGATCAAGAACATTTGAAGCTCTCTCAAAGGACATTACGTGAGTCAATCCAATTGTTCACATGACTGTATATATGTTGCTCTGCATAACAAAGAGTAAACACCTTATTCTTTTCTGATCATCAGCATGGCATATCCTTTCTCTAGCAAGACTGTGTGTGGATTGGTAAAGACGTGAACTACATGTGAAATAAAGCATCTTTCTGTTGCCTTTTATGCTTTAAAAAAATATTTTCAAAATGGGGACCAAAAGTTTGTATTTTTCTTCTTCTTCAAGATTTCTAGCAATACCAGCAAGCCACAAACAGACAACATGATTTGTAAAGTTTTCACATGCCGTATGTTTCTACTATACATTGTTATTGTGCATTTTTGAGTCGTTTGTGACTTATGGCATGCCTAGGGCAATCTTATCATGGAGTCTTCTTGGTAAGATTTATCCATGGCCGAGGTCCCACCTACACAGTTTCATAATGCAGTTTTTATGAAATTGTACTATATGGCAGTTCAGATGGGGACAGAGTGAAGATTTGAACCCTGCTTTCCCACAGTCCTAGGTTGGATCTACACTGTCATATAATGCCGTTTCAGATAGGGGCCCCCGGTGGCGCAGTGGGTTAAACCCCTGTACCAGCAGGACTGAAGACCGACAGGTTGCAGGTTCGAATCCGAGTAGAGGCGGAGGAGCTCCCTCTATCAGCTCCAGCTCCTCATGCAGGGACATGAGCGAAGCCTCCCACAAGGATGATAAAAACATCAAATCATCCGGGCATCCCCTGGGCAACGTCCTTGCAGACCGCCAATTCTCTCACACCAGAAGTGACTTGCAGTTTCTCAAGTCGCTCCTGACACGACAAAACAAAAAGATTGAACACAGATTGATGGTATTGAACTGGATTATACGGCATTGTAGACTCATATAATCCAGTTCAACTCAGTTAATCTGCATTTTGAAACTGCATTATATGGTAGTGTTAATCCAGCCCTAGTCTTAACCTGGAATCACTATACTGGCAGTTCATAAGTATATAAGAATGTACTGGAAATGTCCACATACTAAAAGCTCCATCAAGGAGAGAAGCAAAAGGGTCAAAAAGGGGAGGGCAAGAAACTTACCAGCAAAGAGCATCTTTCCTGTAAGCATCTCTGCTAAAATGCAACCAGCTGCCCACATGTCAATCGCTTTGGTGTAGTTGTTGGGTGACAGGAGCAAACGAGGAGATCGATACCATTTTGTTACCAAGCCTTCTGACAGGTAACCCTGAAAGAATAAAAGAGAGATCTCTGATCAGTTTTGCCATCAGTTACCAAATGACTACAGAATAGAGTTAACATGTTGTCTTCAATGTCATCTCAAAATGCTTTCAGAGGCAACTCAATTCTATGTCTTTTTAAGACTATCTGTCTATTCTCATCATATGGAGACAATAGAGGTTAATTCAGGATTGGTCAAACTTTGGCCCTCCAGATGTGTTGGACTTCAACTCCCACAATTCCTAACAGCCAATAGGCTGTTAGGAATTGTGGGAGTTGAAGTCCAAGACATCTAGAGGACCAAAGTTTGATAACCCTCTTCAATCTACCTTTCCCAGTCAATCCAGCCAATCCTCCTAACAAAAAGATCAACTTGGCTTCTTTTTGCAATCACAACACAAAGTTGGAAGAGATCCTGAGTTCCTTTTTCTCCTTTCTACTTGTGTCGTGTAAACCACACTCTTCTATATTTATTTGTACCATTTGACAGCATCTCTGTTAGCATACAGCAATGTTTCTCAACCTGGGGGTCGGCGCCCCTGGGGGGGGGGGTTGTGGGGGGGGATCAGAGGGGTCAGCAAAGACCATCAGAAAACACAGTATTTTCTGTTGGTCATGGGGTTCTGTGTGGGAAGTTTGGCCAAGTTCTATTGTTGGGGTTCAGAGTGCTCTTTGATTGTAGGTGAACTATAAATGCCAGCAACTACAACTCCCAAATGTCAAGGTCTATTTCCCCCAAATTCCACCAGTGTTCACATTTGGGCATATTGAGTATTTGTGCCAAGTTTGGTCCAGATCCATCATTTTTTGAGTCACAGTGATCTCTGGATGTAGGTGAACTACAACTCCAAAACCAAAGGACACTGCCCACCAAACCCTTCCAGTATTTTCTGTTGGTCACGGGAGTTCTGTGTGCCAAGTTTGGTTCAATTTCATCGTTGGTGGAGTTCAGAATGCTCTTTGATTGTAGGTGAACTATAAATCCCAGCAACTACAACTCCCAAATGGCAAAATCAATCCCCTCTCCCAACCCCACCAGTATTCAAATTTGGGTGTATAAGGTATTTGTGCCAAATTTGGTCCAGTGAATGGAAATGCATCCTGCACAGGCCCATAGCCAGGATTTTGTTTCGGGGGGAGTGAGTTTGAGTTTGTTTCGGGGGGGGGGGGCTGAGTCTGAGTGAAAGAGGGTCTACACTAGCAAACCTTTTGTATCGTTATCCCAATACCCCCATGCATATGGGATATATTGAGCATGGTGATCAGATCATGATATGAATAAACATAACAGTTTAAATAATGTACCAGTAAGGCCTTCTCGGACCACCATGAGAATTTCGGGGGGGGGGGGGCTGAAACCCCCCAAGCCCCCCCCCCCCCCCCGCTACATGTCTGATCTGCATATCAGATATTTACATGATATTCATAACAGTAGCAAAATTACAGTTATGAAGTAGCAAAGAAAATAATTTTATGACTGGGGGTTACCACAACATGAGAAACTGTAGTAAGGGTTCGCGGCATTAGGAAGGTTGAGAACCACTGGCACAGAGTGTCCTATCTACTACCATCACATGATGTGTCTTTTCTGTCAACAATGGCCAAAATGGGGGATCAAACCTTTGACTGACATTATTCAATGCTATGGAATCCAAGGAATTGCAGTTTTACAAAGTCTTGGGCCTTCTCTGCCAAGGAATACTGGTGCCTGACCAAACTACATAGTCAATAGTATTGAGTCAGTTAAGGTGGTGTAGATGCACCCCCAGATGCCATATTGACTCTCACGCACTTCTAATGTTCAAAATTACAGTCTGCACACTTCTCCTTATTTGTTTGGTTTTTTTTAAAAAAATGTTCCATTTTCTACCCACTAGCTGCAACGCAGCTTGCACTCAAAATAGCAAACATTAAATTGTAAACAGATTCAAAGCAAATGTCTTCCAATCGAAATTCTTAAAATGATTATCCCAATATATAACAAGGATGTTGAGAATCTCTTAAAGAGCTTGCCTCATCCCTGCAACCGTTCTTCTCTGTTCCCGTTACCATTTTACAGCTGTGTTAATCTGATTAATGAGTCCATTTCAGCAACACAAAAACCTTTTTGAAGCCAGTCTGTCATATGCAATCATCCATTAGACTTCCATTATTTCTAGCAGCCAACGCAAGCATCTTCCTTGAAACCAGCACATTTTGAATCAAATTATCATTACAACACATACAGATGATATTTTTGGTAGCTCTTTACAGTAGACTCCCAGTAAACAGTAACTCAAATAACCAGCAAAAAAGCAAAGAAATAATACTTTACATTTTTTAAAGCTGATTTAAGTAAAAGAGTAAAACTGTATTATATTAATGACTTTATTACACACAATATGGGAAACACCTTTTAGATAGACAACCTATGTTTTAAAACAGTGGTTCCCAACCTTTTTTTTGACCAGAGACCACTTGACCAGGGACCACTCTCCAACATTAGTACCAAAAGGGTTATGAATTGGTTTTGGTCAGCTTTAGATTTGGTTTGGTTATTTGGGGCTGATTCAGAAAATTGCATTGGATAGACCACATCAGCTCTAGTTTCTGATACAGAACATATGCCATCCAGTAGTCGCATCTGCTCACCCACAGAAAACCATATTTAATAATCTAGAGCTGATGTGGTCTATCCAAGAGGGTGGGGCTGGTCAGCGACAAATCAAGTCAAATCAAATCAAAAGCTAGGAGGCTCATGGACTAGATTTTTGTCCTTGTGGCCCAGTGGTGACCGCATCTCTGTATACGAACCCACACGATCTCTTCGATCATCTGGAGAGGCCCTGCTCATGCTCCCAGCTGCATCGCAAGCGCAATTGGTGGGGACGAGAGAAGGCCTTTTCGGTGGTGGCCCCTCGACTCTGGAACTCACTTCCTAAGGACATCAGGCATGCCTCAACTTTGGCAGTCTTTAAGAGGAGCTTGAAGATGTGGTTGTTCCAGTGCCTTCCCAGAATAATGATCCCATAGTACTTTGTCCTCTAAAGCACTTTATATATTTAGGTCTGCTCGTATGTTCCCACAAACCTATCACCTTTCGTCCATGCCAGGATACCTCTTATACTTTAACTCTCTAATTAACATTTGGACCTACCCAAAACTACAAATCCCAGGATACTGTCACCTTGAGCCACAGCAGGCGTCAAAACTGGATTCATTCTGTAATACTGATGCACCCACTGATATAGAGTATATTGACCCTCTGAATGTGAAAAGTATTTATCATTGGAAGGCGCTGAACAGACTGCGCTCTGGCCCCACGAGATGCAGAGCCAACCTCAAGAAATGGGGCTACAAAGTGGAATCCACGACATGCGAGTGTGGAGAAGAGCAAACCACTGACCACCTGCTGCAATGCAACCTGAGCCCTGCCACATGCACAATGGAGGACCTTCTTGCGGCAACACCAGAGGCACTCCAAGTGGCCAGATACTGGCCAAAGGACATTTAATCAACTACCAAGTTTGCAAACTTTGTGTTTTGTCTGTTTGTTTGTTTTGTTAAAAATGTAATACAACTGTCTGGTTGCTCCTGACACGATAAATAAATATAGCGGGGTATAAATAAAGTGTTATTATAATTTTATTATGGCCCACAGGTTAAGAACGATTGGTTTAAAAAGACTTAATGAGGATATATGTCCACCCCATTAAACCAAGATCTCTTGGTTAAAATAATGCACCTTTGGCTTATCATATGGTAGGATGCATCCTCCCAATTAATCAGATGTTTCCCCATGTCACTGTCGTCTCCTTTTCTTTCCATTTTCTTTTTCTCTTTTTGCAGTTTTTGCACAACCACACAAGTTTGTGACTTCCATCCAAATGGAGAAACTTAAAAACACCAATTTGGTTTGGTGGAGCTCTGCAGTGCAAACCTCACGATCTGCTAAACCACTTCTTTCAGTGGGAAACCCATGATCTGCTAAACCACTTCAAACCATGCACACACCACAATCTGGTAACTGACTTCTTTCAATGGGAAACCCACAATCTGTGAACAGAGGGAGAGCTATCAGTGAGCTGCAGACAAGTATATCATCACACCTCAAATATCATTCTTCTGATGCACAAGGAGAAATTAAAGACCGCTGGAGTCGATGCTCACCTATCTCACAAAATACACTGTCTGAAGATCCACTGTCTATGAATTGTGTCATGCAACGGGACTTGTAGGATCCAGTATGCAAAGGGCATCAGAGATGGGGTACCGTGCTGTGGGATAAGGTCCTAAATGTTCTCTCCAAGAATCTCTAGGCTTTTCAGCTTGGCTCCATGGTGAACTTCCACTGAAAGTTGACCACAGACTTACGGTGAAGTATCTAGAGATTGCTAGAGAGAACAGCTTTCTAGGTATTTCTAGATCCTCCAGTGCGATTGTATGGTGAGCCTCTGATGGAAGTTGATTGTTGATTCATGCTAGAGACCAAGAGATTCTTGTGATCATAAAAAAGTTAAACCCGCAAACGTGGTAGTCCTACTGTATATCTCACAATGGCTCTTAGTAAACAAAAGGGGAAAATCCTCTTTCAACATACACAGTAGAAACATTCAGGATTGATGACAGTATGCTTTTACAACACTTGGTCTAAAATCCTTTTTTGCACTGATAACAAATTCGCAAGCCTCTGGATTCCTGCTATACATGGCAATCTACCTCATTGTGCATGCAAAAGGAGCAAGCACACAGGCCTCGTGGGAAGAGTGTTGCCTGATGAAGAAGCCAGCACCAATCTCTTGTTGCTCATATTATAAGCAGCATTGCATTTGCTCTGGACGGCATGTGTAGATAGAAATGCTCCCCAAGCTAATGCAACATGACAGTTGCTATATGACCCAGCCAGCATCCTTGCAGGAGCAAAAAAGAATGTGTTGAACTTCCATTTACCTCTCTCTCTCTCTCTCTCTGTACTTTTCCAGAATCAGTGTGCATCTCCTCAACCAAATTGCCAAACTGGGAATTGAA